GCAATGCAGCCTTATATGGAGGTACGCAATATCGACAAGATATTCGATGAACTAAAGTTAGAATTCTTTATTTAAGCACAGCATTATCTTCAAAATTGTTCTAGATGAGGGAGTTGGTCTTTGGTTGCCGAGGGAAAATATCTGAATCCTGTCTAGACAGTGGCTTGTCTGGACTTTTTTGAGCAAATCGACAACATGATGTAACAATTGATTTTAAATCAAATTTACTTTTTGCATGATTTTTTTTTTTGTTTTTTTGGGCGGCTTATTTTAATTTTTTTTTCTGGCATTTTATCCGAGGAAATTCACATAAGTTCGTTCTTGTTTTAGGTTTTATTTTGATGATTTGCCTGTTTTTTCAGGGCGGTTCATCAAAATATCAATATAACGTGGCTGGGCATTGGCAACATGCCAAATATGGGGATATTTTTTGTTCGTGGTGAATATATTACGAGATATAATGAGAACAGTAATAAGACAATTATCAATTGGGCATCCGAAACAAAATTAAATAATGCAGCAGGTTAATTTTCCTCGGTTTTATTAGCCATTATTTCTAAGATGAATTTGAGCAACACAGGCAAAGTGCCATAGGCGTAATTTGGGGACGTAATCTACATGCACGTACGGACCCCCATCCCCGGAATGGGCGGTCTTTCCCGCGTGGTACCCGCGTAAAAGCCCACCAAAATTTTTTTTCGGGTAAGTTGTTAACTCTCGAATCAGAAAAGCTAGAAAGCAGAAATTTTAAGGGAATGTTCCTCGTCCAAGTGTATACTAATGAGCTCAAACCCAAACCCCGGGTAAACGTGGTACCCGCGTACGGGTAAACATGGTACTCGCGTACCTACGCACGGGTTCACCAAAGTTTTTCTCGGATAAGCTGATAACTGGAGAACCTGTAAAGCTTAAAGACTGTAGTTTTAGGAGAATGTTACCTGTCCAAGTAAGTCTCAACGAGTAGCTATTCTCCACGGCATTCGTACATACTGGAGGCTGGGATTTCACGGTGCCCAAAGCAATGCAGTACTATCTTAAGTTGTCGCCTCCCTCCCCATAGAAAAAGACCAAGTGTGTGGTTTTGTAAAGCAACGCTCATTCATACCGTGAACAATATGACTGCTTCAAGGTTCGTGCAAAAACGCATAATCACACTGGCAGCTCTAATGCGCCGCGATATTAGTTTCTTTCAGAATTCCTCTTTGAAGATGGCTTATTTTGCATCGTAATTTTAGGTGGTCATCCGCTGTTGTCCTGGGCAAATTTAGAGCATGACAAACGCATCTTGACCATTTATTTTGCAATCGAAAATTTTACCCGAGCTCATGATGGATTGGCGTATAGTGGCTACAAATTTATCGTCCCATACAGTTCGTTTTATACGGTCGTTGTGGACTGTAATTCAGATGCAAGCGAAGGTGACAATTACGTCTACATCTGCTTACGACATCCACCTCAGGTGAGTTTGCTTAGCATTTGCATATTGAATGAAACAATGTAGAATTAAATAATAATAAATTTGGAAGAAATAAAAGTGAAAATGATGGAGGGGTGTTTGTTGGTAGTTGCCCAGATACAGCTCAGAGGGCGCGACTGAGGCCAGGATAGTGGGGAGGAATGAATAGTGGAGAAAAAGATTGGAATTAAGTGTCATGTATAAGAGAACATTTCATGATGCAGTCTGTGTTTCATCCCCAAGCTGTATACACAGACCGAACAGTGCATGCTGGTAGGAGTGGGAATCGTCAGTACAGCCTCCTACCCGCCATGTATTGAAAGGACATGTAACTAATTTGCAAGAAGGATAAGTGAAAGAGAAGAAGAGAAAGTGTAATCGCATGAAAGTAATAAAAGTGATGGAGCAGATGGAAGAGGAGGAGACGAAAATATGAGAAGGGTAATAATTCTATGTAAATTATGAGGTGGCAACGTTCATGAAAATAACTCACTAACAAAGTTTTTAATTCCTACATCATCAGGGTAGACGAGTTTACTAAGTACCGATCGGTTCCTGTAGCAAAATCTTAGAACACAGCGTTCTATTTTGGCAATATCAAACTTTTTTTGTCTATGGATAGTTGCTGGTTAGGAGAATAAGGAAAGCGTGGAAAGCTGCCACGAGTAAAACATTTAGAAACGCATGCCGGAAGTATTACTTTATTCGTTCATATTATATACTATTTGGAAAAGACTGTGCCACAGCCTACTTCCTCTCTTCTGTCCTCTGCTTCGTCTTTTCCTTGAAATTTTCGTGAATAATGCCACACTGCACGAATAAATCCGGTGCTGGAAAAAACTGGTTCTGTTACTATGCGAAAGTTAAAATCAATACTCCTTTGTATGAGAAATGGGGGTACTTAGAAATACCCTACGCACCAGGTGCAGCCACCTGTTGGCAACTGGTAACGCTATTTTTTTGTAAGAATTATTTACAGACAAGCGAATGGCTACCATTGAATTGTTTCGTTCTTTTTTTTAAAATAAAACCGAAAAAGTTGATGCATTTTTTTTTTGAAAAATCTGATCTATTTCCCAAGGAACAGAAAGTTTGAGGATTTCGCTACTGAATACAACTTTTTTTGGTATTTCCTTTTTTTTCTTATCAAACTTAAAACCATGTTTTTTTTTTTTGTTATTTTTTAAAAATGAATAAAATCTTTTAGCTCTGGGAAGCAATACCACGCTTGGTGGTGAATGGCAGACGGAT